TGAGCCATATTTATAAAGCTTTACTCAATAATTGCACTGACTACATAAGTTACACCTTTTTATAATTTCCATTTCACAGATGAGGAAACAGAGGTGAGAAATGACAGATAACTTGCCCAAGCAGGTGTTAGAACTAGCACTCAAAACCAGAGCCCATGATCTTAACCATAAGGCAGTCCTGCTTCTCAAATACCTCAAATATACCCTAAACGCCCCTCCTCCCTAAGCTGTATCTCTACTTTTCCCTAGTGGGTTAAACACACTTGTCATGTCTGACAGTTCAGCAAAACCCAGCTGGGCCAAAGAAAACATCTCTGCTGGGAGATTCAGGATTTATGCAAATATCCAGGCTGTGAGGAAGGCCTGTGGTTTTCCTTTGTGCCCTGTTTGTAATAAATAAGCCATGGCAGCATGCTTAGGTTGTTAACAGAGATAGATGGGGCCAACTGAGCCATTGCTTTGCACTTGGCAATGGAATTGCTTCTCCGATTGTGATGGTTCTCCATTGTGGATCAGGATGGTGGAGGGATTCCACAGTCCTTATGTGTTCTAAGAGGATGGTTACACATAGGGGAATAGGGTGCAGGACACTCCTTCACAAAGAAGTTTCAGAGAAGGCAAATAAGGGGCTGGTGAATTCATGACCTGAGACTTAGGGTAGAATCAACTTATCTCTCTCTAAGTCCCTGCATCCCAGAGAGCTCATTGCCCTCCTCTATAAACAGGATTGGGTGCCATCGGTTCTCTGGTCTTTTCACAGTGCCTCCCAAGTTCTGCTATGTGTTAGAAGGTATTATATGGCGAAAATCACTTCATTTTTTAAAACAAACAAAAGGAAAATGCCTGTTTAGACAAAGTTTGCCATTATTATTTTTCTGTGTATTTTTACTGCTTGGTTTCTCAAGGTCATTTATGTAAGAAAATAAAATTGCTAATCTCTCAGACATGATATAATTGATAGCATTTCCCAAATTTGATCACCAAACCACATTTTCAAAGAGTTTATTAAGGGTAAAGTTTTCCAAGACAGAGCTCAAAAAATGCTACACTAAATGGTGTCTGGGGTTATTTGTCTGAACAAGAGCCAGATGCCACTTCTGCTAGATAGAGCACACCTGCGACAGGGTGGTAAAGCAGATTTATCTTCTGGGGTGACATGTAGGGACAGAATGACACATAGGAGTGTACTTTCTTATTGTGAAAGCTCTTTGCATTGTGCCCCCAAAACTTCCCCTCTGACTTCATAGTACCTACCTGTTACAGTGGGAACCTACACTAAACTGTACCTTTTAAGTAGATGTTGTGTGAATTACCCCATTTAATTTTCAGAGGACTCCCGAAAAAATGGTTGTGCATGTTGAAGAGATGATATTCATAGTTCTTTCTGAAATGCACGTGTTATTGCCCCCATGCATCTTATAATTAGACCTAAGGTCCAGGAAACTCAAGTATCAGGATGGTCAGTAAGCATAGGAACCAAAAGACAAAAACTAAGTCACTTTCTGTTGAAGTGCCAGGAAAAATTTCAATTCTTTCCAATTTTTTTTTTAAATCAGGTTCATTTCAGTAAGTATTCAATTGATAATCTATGGTACCAATTTAAGATTTAACTTTTAATCTCTTCTTGGATAGTTGAAGAACAATAAAAGTTACTAACATCTATGGAAATTTGCATCAGTTATTTCTGCATAATAAACCACCCCAAAACCTAGAGGTTTAAAATACCGTCAGAGCCAAGAAATTTAACACAGCCTTGCTCTCACATCTAGTGGTGGTTACTCTCACCTGTATACAACAGGCAAACCTGGGATGCTTCACACAGTGGGGCAGCAGAACATTTACAGCATCTCTTCCCTCACCCTCTGTTACTCAGAGAAAGTCACAGATCCAGCCTGGATTCAAGGTACAGAAAATGGACTCTCATCCTTGTGGGGAAAACTAATAAAGCCACATTGCAGAATGGCCTGTGCATAAGGATTTTTAAAATTGCTTTAGTAAACACGAGACCATCATTGTAACAGATGCCTCTTAGAACATCTGCTCAGGAAACACCCCCTTTTCTGTGAGTCTGTCCCTGCACCTGTTAATGGGATAGGACAATGTAACCTGAGTTACCTAAAAGCAACCAATTAGACAAGAACTAGACCTCTTCCCCAGAAGTTAATCCATTGTCATCCTACAGTCTACCAGATTCTTTTGCTAAGAATTCTAAAGCTGAAGCAAAGTTATGTTACTGAGCGGGTGGTGCTGACCAGCCATTTGATGCAGCCATTTCTCCCAAATACAGTTCGAAAAGCGGAGATAAAACTCATTCATTTGTCCATTCAAAAATATTTGCAGTACATCCATTATGTGCTCGGTCCTGTGACAGGCACTGGACCCATTTGACTGAGACAGAAAGCAAATGCAGAGAAACTGAACTTCCACATGTTTCCAGAGACAGTCTCTGATTCTGGACTCTGCTGATGCCTGGTTGAATGTGCTGTCTTTTCTTGCTCTAAGTGGCTTCTTGAACTGCACAATAAAATCCCTTACCTTTCTTAAGCTGGTAGAAATAAGTTATATGTTCTGTTATTTAAATGACCCCAATATAGTATTCTATGGAGAGAATCTGCCAGTTACTCTGTATTGGCAGAGAGAATATAAGATTGGAACAAATCGTCTGCTATTCTGGGATTTAAGAATTAGTACCTGGGTGACATGGTCATTTGAATTTGATGACAACAGAACCTCAAGATGTTGGGAAGGTCTTTATTTTTATTCAGCAAGACACTTCCAAATAAGTAAATCTCCACTTACTGGGCATGAATGACTTCCAAATATAGTACATCTCTGCTTTCATAATTCTGCATAAAAGCCTACATTCTGACAATAATTATTTATTCAACTTTCTACTGACAACTTTTTGAGAGCCTACTATGTGCCATGCACCCTTCTAGGTACCTATGAAACATTAAGGCCAAGTGTGGTGGTACATGCCTGTAATCCTTGCTGCTTGGGAAGCTGAGACAGGAGGATCAAAGAGTTCAAAGCCAGCTTCAGCAAAAGCAAGGCGCTAAGCAACTCCATGAGACCTCGTCTCAAAATAAAATACAAAATAGGGCTGCGGATGTGGCTCAGTGGTCGAGTGCCCCTGAGTTCAGTCCCTGGTACCAAAAAAAAAAAAAAAAAGCATCAAAAAAACAAATTAGCAAAAATCTCTGTCCTTGGACAGCTTCTAGATTGTCACAGTATCCTCACATTATGAAAAACAGAGGTCATTTTTACTCGTTTAGTGGGTTTAGAAGTATTTTCTAGAATATGTATTTTAACATTGAGAAATTCAATGGCTAATAAGATAGCTAGTCTATAAACATTGTGTAATGTACAAGGAAGTAGAAAACAAAAGACACAACAAAAAAGATATTTAAAAGGAATTCAATGGTGTCAAAGTAGTTGTATCTGTGAAATAGTTCACTAGCTTACTTTTTTGAAGGACTTAGTTTATATTTCTGGCTAAAAAAATGATGAGCTTCCCATTGCATTGGGAAAAAACTAATAAGATCAGAGGACAATATATAATATAGCAGAATTTGAGATATTGTAAATCATCTACCATATGAACATTAAGACCTTGATTTCATCCAGGGAAGTCTTTATTCCTCCACTGAAAATTATCACAGTTAAACCAAATTTAATCTGTATCTCTCCTCTGATTGTGAAGAAAAATCTGTTTTGTTTTCAAAAATATTTTTTAAAACTTTGGAACCTTAAATATTTCTGGAGTTGTTTTTACATGGAAGAGCCTTTGACTTAAAAACAAATGTGGGTCTTTTCACAAAAGTCAAGTTTTTTTTTTTCTCAGATGGTTGGATTTGTGTCTATTCTGGGAATTCAAACATTAATTCATTTGCTAAACAGACTAGCTGCCTAGCCAATACACTGAAAACAGAATATTTGCTAAATCAAAAATCAATGGTCATAACTTAGTCCTGCAGATATTGCAGATACCTCTATGGCAAGGGGATATAGAGAGGTGGATGGATAGACAAACAAATAGATGGATGATAGAAATTTCATGCTTTTACCACATTTTCAGTCTGGGGAATCATTATACTCCTGATAGATCCTTTGAAGGCTTGTTCACAACAGGTGAGTTGTATCTGTTCTTGGTATCATTTCTTTTGTTTAGCCCACATAACCACATCTACACAGTTGAGCCAGTCCATTACAAAGAGGGTCCAGAGAAAGACATCATGAACTGACTATTGAAAATCCAGATGGTGTAGCATAGAAACTAAGGGCACAGGTCTTGAAGATAAATGGATAGGTTCAGAGCTAAGCTTGTCTCTTTCTGGTCATATGACATGGAAAAAATTGCTTAGTATGTCTAAAACTCCACATTTTTAATCTTCTATGTGTTCATTCTAACTCTATCTAGTTAATAAATATATTGTAAGAAAGAAATAAAATAATGCAGTGAAGCAGAATGACAGAGTCAGGCACTGTTGTTGCTCCTGTAAGATGCTGGAGAAATAGTAGGGGTGAAGGGATGTAAGCAAGTAGAGTATAGTGTTGTGAAATCTCTCATCAGGAAAAGACCTTACCAATCAACCCTTTAAGGTCTTTATTTTATGGACTGGGAATCAGGCCCAGAGAGGTTAAGTGACTGACCTCAAGTCAGCAAGCAAGCTGAGAAAGCAAGACTTAAACTTAAGATCAGAAGTAAGATGCTTTTCAATTAGTTTGTCCTTTCATTTTCCCTCTCATAACAAGAAGGAAATTTCTGTAATTTTTATAGTCAGGTTACCTGAATGGTTTTAGCAGTAACTTCATTCCAAGGATTTATCTGAAATTCCACCACTTAAATGTAGCTTTTTCAACAAGAGGAAACTGTATCATCAGGATAAAAGAGAGCTCAATGCTTAAAGAACAGACTCCGTCCCCGACTCTACTAACTCTATTTGTATGCTTTCAAAAGGAAATTCTCTTAGGCAGATAAGTGGGCATGCTGAAAGGTAATACATAAATTTCCATGCTCAATCGTCAGGACTTGAGCGGGTTTGTCTACGATGCAGCCCACACCATCCAGAGCGTTCTTGCAGCCTGCCAGCTCCTATGCGTTACTCAGCTCTGAGCAACAGAGGAGGGCAATGCTCACTCTTCAGGGTACAAATTCATCATCTGAGGGGGCTGTTCTGAATGGAAATCTACCTTCTTCCATCCTACCATGTATGTGCCCCCCTCGAGATGCCTTGTGGGATGTGAGGAGTCTGGGGGCAGTGGAGGAAGGAATCAGCGGGTGCACCTGAGGCTTCATGCTGGAGACCAGGATGCTGAGATCCCTGCCCTGAGCATCTATAGCTTAAAAATAGATCCTTTAAAGAAAACCGTGTCTATAACTTTTCTAGGTGATTCTCTCCTGCAACCCTTGAAAGAGAATGATATGAAAAAATCTATCTTTGCTTGAAGAAACAACTCCAAAAGGCCACAGTGATCTGCTCTTTGGTCCCATGGGCATGTCCTCCCATGGCCTCTGATGAGGGCAAGTTGCTTTCAGAGACACTCCAGAAAGAAAAAAAAAGAAAAATGTTTTATAAGGTAAAAGATAAATTTTTATAATTAAATTCTATAAAAATGTTGTTCATCATTTATTAGAATTTACTATTTTCTAATTAGAAGGCTTTAATGTTTTATCCATACCTTTTGAATGAAAGGCTGAAGGCTATTTTGCTAAGAATGACTCAAATTGCTGGGGAGTGAATTCAGCCTTCTAGGCCCAAGTTTCCAGTCTGAGGTATTAGAAAGGGAAGAGAGGAATGTAGAGAATTTGCTTCAGCTGTTCCAGGAACTACGCATCTTTTATTCTTCTTAATTCTTACCTTGAGGAATATTAATGAACTTAAGTGGCAGAGGACAAATGATGATACTTAAATATTAGTTTAACTATGCTCACTGAATTGGAATATAAAGAGACAGAAAATGTTTGAATTCAAGTCCTCAGCCTCACGCACATTGGCGAATATCATCTCCTGAAACAGAATAGCTGTGAAAAGCCGTAGATGAATTTCTCATTACCACCCCCCACCACCAACCACCACTGCTGACCCCTTTTTCTTTGTCCCTCAGTTCCCCCTTATCTCTTAGAATTACCTTCGCTAACGCATGTTTTCCTGTGGCCAGTGATAGCATTTCATGGACAAGAATGTAGCATGGGAGAAAGATGCACTTCCCTGTTGATGCATGAAGCTAAACTAGTTTGGGACCTTTAAGTCTCCAGCTGGGAACATCATTGTTGATGCTATGGATCGTGGAGTAGCTAAGGAGACGACACTCCCACCCCTCTGGATAAGCATCAACAACCTCTTTCCCCATCTGTTTCGTGATACATGTTACCATGGTGTTGGAAGACGGTGGCCTAGATAAAGCACTAAAGTACTGGGGCTCTGGGAAAAGCATCTTGAGATCTGTTGTCTCTTAGGCTGGACTAGCCTTGTCTAACTGCCATGAGCTGCTGGATGCAATGCTAGTGTCTACAGGCTTCTTAATCTCTGCTGTCTTTCACATTCCTGAAGGTCCCCAAAGTGCCTTGTTCTTTCTCTTTCTCTGTCTTTTCTATCTCTTCCCCTTTTCTACATCTCTTTGTCTGATTTATTGAGCACCATTGTAGAATCGTGTTGCATGGGACTTATTTCTGTAACAAAGCTTATAGCACATGCATGGTCTCCCTTTTCTTACACATATTGCATCGGAGCTTAGGGAGGTGAATATTGCTGTGGTGTGAATAAGTGTCCCCCAAAGGCTTATTCCCAGTCAAGGGCACTACAGGAAGGTGATGAAACCATTAAGCCTAATTGGAGTCTTTCCAGTTATTTGGGGGCATGCCTTGAAAGGGATATTGGGGCCTTTGCCTCTTCCTGTCTTTATTCTTCCTTGACCATCCTATGGTGAGCAGCTTGCTTTACCATGTACTCCCTGCCATGATGTCCCTCCTCACCACAGACCTAAAGGCAACAGGGTCAAGTGACCAGGAAAGGAAACTTCAAACCCAGGAGCCAAAATAAACTTTTTTCTCTTTGTAAGTTGATTATCTCAGATAATTTGTTACAGCAATGGAAAGCTTACTAACATAAGTACCATCAATGATGTTACACTGCAAGGACCTTTAGCCAAACTTCGTTTCAAGCCAAGTTCTATCTGATGACAGAGCCCTTGCACTTTTCATTACATCTGCTGCTTCGGGAGTCTAAAGTGATTTGATCCCACCAGATGCCCCGTGAGGCCATGCCAATATCTGACTTGTTACTGATTTGTAGATCTCAGTCTCTTCTTACTAGTGAGGAAATTGGTAGTAAAACCTAAACCAAACAAATATGTGAGGTAGTTGAGAGAATCCTGTAGGCACAAGAAAATGTCAAAGATCCAGAAGTTTTCTATATCCATAGCAAAACATTACTTAATGTAACTTCATATAAATGCATTTTAATAATTAAATATGTTTAATATATTTAGATTTAAAAAATATATTCAATTATATTTAATTACATATAAAATTTATATACATATTCAAACATATTCTGGCAATGCATTCTTAATCATGGCACTTGACTTCCCTAAGCTTCAAGTACAATACATACAAATATGTGCTGCATAATAATTTTATAGTCAATGGAGGATCATATATATGAGAGCAGTCCCTAAGTTTGCAACAAAGTTGACATTAAGCAATACATTACTTACGTGTTTGTGATGATACTGTCAATTATATGAAAATATAGTATGTAAAGTTATGTATAATACATAATACTTACTCATGATAATAAAGAACTATTATTATATTAATATATTATTATATGTATATGATTATATATGCATTTACTATATTGTACTTTGTTATTTTAGAGTACACTCCTTTTACACAGATATTGGGGCTGGGGTTGTGGCTCAGTGGTAGACTGCTCATCTAGCATGCATGAGGCACTAGGTTCAATCCTCAGCACCACATAAAAATAACAATATTTTTAAAAAGTATGTTTACTGTACAAGAGCATGCCGACTCCAGCAACAGCCTCAGCACCTTTGTTTACTGTGTTTTTGTGTGTTTTGGTTGTATCAGAGGCAATATTGAATGATTGGACTAGACCATCCAGGTTTGTGTAAGTGCACTCTGTGCTATTGGCAAAGTGACAAAAGGACACATAGCCTAAGGTCAGGCTTTCCAGACTGTCCCTCTGTCATTAAGTGATACATGGCTGTGTGTGTGTGTGTGTGTGTGTGTGTGTGTGTGTGTGTGTGTGTGTTTGACATGTACATCCTGTAAACATTTTTTAGTACTGTACTGTTTTGGCAACACCTTAGCATTTACATTTCAGTCTTGAAGGAATTGCTTAAGAAGCCAAATCTAAGTTTTGAAGATGCTAATTTAGGAACCCTGACACATAGTCACATTATAAAAGTCTAAAAAAAGTAATAGTTTCCTCTGACCTTTTCAAGGACATTTGGGAAGGGTGATAATGATCATAGTAGGCCATCTTATTCCTGAGGAAAAAATAAGAACAGTTTGCATTATGTGTGACTGCCTTCGTCACCTTGAAGAAGAGGAGGGTAGGCCCATCACTTATTGATGTCTCATTCAGGGACTTAGCTTTCTGTGACACATATTCATACATGATATCAGTTGATGCTTTCATTTTACAGGTGAGGAAAGAAAGAAGATGAACAAATACTCTTGGGTGAATAATTGTGAAAGTGTTAAAGTTATCTCAAATTTTCATCCTGATTTCTATTGTGGTCTATATCAGTTTGTTCAGGCACTCCCCACACGTAGACTAAACTATTATTCTCATTTTTGTGCTTATCCAAAAACTGAGCTCAGGTTTTACTTCCTCAAAGACGCCTTCTAGGCCTGACCCAGCTCTCACTGATCATCTTTATCATCAGTAATCCTTTAGGATAACTGTCTTGTTCCACTTTTGCTATAACAAACTACTATGAACTGATGAGCTTGTGGACAATATGGATTCATCACAGTTCTGCAGACTGGGATTTCAAGGTCAAGGCTCTGGTGGATTTGGCTCATAGAAATAACACCTTCTGTACTCTATTGTGGTGGGAAGGTGATGGATTCTCTTGAACCTCTTCTATAGGGCACTAATTCCAATCATCAATGTTCTTCTTGGAAGACCTGGTCACCTCCCATGTTTTAGTACAGCCACCTTGTAGGATAGGATTTCAAAATGTGAATTTGGGGCATACTTATTCGTACTACAAAAATTACTTTTCAGAATTACAACTATAGTTAATTTCACACTGACTTGAGTTTGTGTCCATCTCATGATGTTGTGCCTAAACAAAAACAGCATGGTATTGGCACCAAAACAGACTGGTAGACCAATGGTACAGAATAGAGGATACAGAGACTAACCCACAAAACTACAATTATCTTATATTAGATAAAGGTGCCAAGAACATGCACTGGAGAAAAGGTAGCCTCTTCAACAAATGGTGCTGGGAAAACTGGAAACACATATGCACCAAAATGACATTAAACCCCTATCTGTCACCATGCACAAAACTCAACTCAAAGTGGATCCAGGAATTAAACCAGAGACACTGCATCTATTAGAAGAAAAAGTAGGCTCTAATCTCCATCATGTGGGATTAGGCCCCAACTTCCTTAATAAGACTCCTGTGGCACAAGAATTAAAATCAAGAATCAATTTATAAATGGGATGGACTCAAATTAAAAAGCTTCTTCTCAGCAAAACAAACAATCTGTGAGGTGAATAGAGAGGCTACATCTTGGGAGCACATGTTTACCACTCATACATCAGATAGACCACTTATCACTAGGGTATATAAAGAACTCAAAAAGCTAAGCACAAAAAAAAAAACCCCAAATAATTCAGTGAATAAATGGGCCAAGGACCTGAAAAGACACTTCTCAGAAGATGATGTACAATCAACCAACAAATACATGAAAAAAAAATGTTCATCATCACTAGCAATTAGAGAAATGCAAATCAAAACTACTCTAAGATTTCATCTCACTCCAGTCATAATGGCAGCTATTATGCATACAAACAATAATAAGTGATGGTGAGGATGTGGGGAAAAAGGTACAGTCATACACTGCTGGTGGGACTGCAAATTGGTGCAGCCAATATGGTAAGTGGAGATTCCTTGAAAAACTGAGAATGGAACCACCATTTGACCCAGCTATCCTTCTTCTCAGTCTTTACTTAAAGGACTAAAAAACAGCATATTACAGGGACAGAGCCACATCAATGTTTATAGCAGCACAATTCACAATGGCTAAACTGTGGCACCAACCTAAATGCCCTTCAATGGAGGAAGGGATAAAAAAATGTAGCATATATACACCATGGAAACTTACTCAGCAATAAAAGAGAATAAAATCATGACATTGGCAGGTAAATGGATGCATTTGGAGAAGATAATGCTAAGTTAGCCAATCCCCAAAAATCAAATGCTGAATGTTTTCTGATATAAGGAGGCTGATTCATAGAAGGGTAGGTAGGGGGAGCATGGGAGGAATAGATGAACTCTAGATAAGGCAGAGGGGTGGGAGAGGAAAGGGAGGGTAGGGGGTTAGCAAGGATGGTGGAATGTGATAGATATCATTATTCAAAGTACATGTATAAAGACATGAATTGGTGTGAACATATTTTATATATAACCAGAGATATGAAAAATTGTGCTGTATATGTGTAATAAGAATTCTAATGCTGTTTTTAAGTCCTTTGAGTGTAGATGGAGGAGAGGGACAGCTGGGTCAAATGGTGGTTCCATTCCCAATTTTCCAAGAAATCTCCATATGCTTTCCATGTTGGTTGCACCAATTTGCAGTCCCACCAGCAGTGTATGAGAGGACCTTTTTCCCCCACATCCTCGCCAACACTTATTATTGTTTGTCTTCATAATAGCTGCCATTCTGACTGAAGTGAGATGAAATCTTAGAGTAGTTTTGATTTGCATTTCTCTAATTGCTAGTGATGATGAACACTTTTTTCATGTATTTCTTGATTAATTGTACATCATCTTCTGAGAAGTGTCTTTTCAGGTCCTTGGCCCATTTATTGATTGAGTTTTTTTTTTTTTTTTTTTGCTTAGCTTTTGAATTCTTTATATACCCTAGTGATAAGTGGTCTATCTGATGTGTGAGTGGTAAAGATTTGCTCCCAAGAGCCTCTCTATTAACCTCTCAGATTGTTTGTTTTGTGAGAAATAGCTTTTTTAGTTTGAGTCCATTCCATTTATAAATTGATTCTTGATTTTAATTCTTGTGCCACAGGAGTCTTATTAAGGAAGTTGGGGCCTAATCCCACATGATGGAGATTAAGGCCTACTTTTACTTCTATTAGATGCAGGGTCTCTGGTTGTATTCCTAACTCCTTGATCTATTTTGAGTTGAGTTTTGTGCATGGTGACAGATAGGGGTTTAATTTCATTTTGCTGCATATGTGTTTCCAGTTTTCCCAGCACCATTTGTTGAAGAGACTGTCTTTTCTCCAGTGCATGTTCTTAGCACCTTTATCTAATATAAGATAATTGTAATTTTGTGTGTTAGTCTCTTTGTCCTCTGTTCTGTACCATTGGTCTACCAGTCTGTTTTGTTGCCAATACTATGCTGTTTTTGTTACTATTGCTCTGTAGAATAGTTTAAGTTCTGGTATAGTGATGCCACCTGCTTCACTCTTCTGGGTTATGATTGCTTTAGCTATTCTGGGTCTCTTATTCTTCCAGATGAATTTCATGATTGCTTTTTCTATTTCTATGAGGAATATCTTTGGAATTTTGATCAGAATTACATTAAATCTGTATAGTGTTTTTGGAAGTATGGTCATTTTGATAATATTAATTCTGCCTATCCAAGAGCAAGGTACAACATACTACAGGGACACAGCCACATCAATGTTTATAGCAGCACAATTCACAATAGTTAAACCATGGGATCAATCTATTGCTCTTCAATAGATGAATGGATAAAAAAAATGTGACATGTAAACACAATGGAATATTACCCAGCAATAAAAGAGAATAAAATCATGGCATTTTCTGGTAAATAGATGGAGTTAGAGAAGAGAATGCTAAGTGAAGTTAGCCAATCCCCAAAAACAAATTATATTTTCTTGGATATAAGGAGGCTGATTCATAGTGGGGGGTGGAGCATGGGAGGAATAGATGAACTCTAGATAGGGCAGAGGGGTTGGAGGGTAAGAGAGGGGGCATGGGTAATTAATGACAGTGAAATGTGGTGACCACTATTATCCAAAGTACAGGTATAAAGACAGAAAGTGGTGTGAATATACCAGAGATATGAAAAATTGTGCTCTCTCTATATAATAAGAATTGTAATACATTCATTGTCATTTATTTTTTTTAAAAATCTATTAAACATTTTTTTAAAAAAATTCTTTTTCAGTAGATTTCCATCTAGTTGGTTCCTTCCTAATTCTCACATCTAACTGCAACCAGTTATATACAAGCTCATCAAATGTTTCTGAGCACAGATGATTCACCTTCCCATAACATTCGAGAAGGACTACACACTGTCACTGAATAACTGTGTGTCTTTGGTCAAGTCATCTAATTTTTCAGGGTTTTTCTACTGCTTACTTCTAAAAATAGTATTTAATTAATCCAGCTATATAGCAAAATTTCTCCATTTTATAAGACTGACTAGGGAATATTTCTCAAAAATTCATGTCTTAGATGATATAACCCTTCTTTGTGCTCTGTTAGGACAGAAATAGGACCTCAGAATCTGAAATTTCAGGAATTTCTCTGATTAATCCTATGCAAATAGTTTGGAGACCATATTATGGTATGCACTGCTAAAAGGAGGTGATTATGAAAGCAGAGAAGACTAGAATAGCCCAGGAAGCTTTAAAAATGATATAGATTTCCAAACCTCTCCCCTGGCCAATGGAATCAGAATCTTTGTAATGGGCAGGAGATGAGCCTTTGGAAACCTGTACTTTTTCAAAGTTATCCCAGGTGATTTTGAAATACCTAGTCTTATTAGCATCATTTGGTAAATGCTTTCAAATTCTTCCACATCCATATTTCATTAGCATTGGATTCAGCTCCACATTTGCAATCCTGACACTTCTGCCAGGCCTCTGGCTGTATCCCATCACTCCTCTGTAAGAGGTGAAAATATGCCTACAGCTAGACTGCTGTTTTGGGGAAAAAAAAATTCCCTTAGGAGACAAGTACATTTCAAGTACCATTCTGAGCTAAACTCTTGATTTTCAGCAATAAATCTATTTTAAAATTATGAAGCAACATGGTTGAGGGAAACTATTGAAAATTCCATGAAATTTTATCCTTCATGACTAAGCTATTGAACCTTTTTTGTGTCTAGTTTAACCCACATGGAAAATGTTATATCACTAAATTAACCATACAATCCATGAGTTAAATAGCATGGCAGTTACCATGGGAATGTGCCAAACAAAGGTGGTTGGCAGTATGTGTAGGGGTATTGGAGGGGGTAATATATTGTAGGCTAGATGAGAGCTGCTATGCCCTACTTTCATATTTAAGTTACTCCTACAGTCAACAAATTTTAAAGACATGTACCTGAGATTTTTTAAAGTACAATCTTCACTTCTGTATCTTGTCAAAGAGTTGGAGGGAATTGTTTCATTACTGTAAATGCCACTTTACTCCTTTGGTGTAAACATGTTTAATTCTATGTTTTAATCAGGTTTTTAAAATTTTAATTAATTAATTATTATTATTATTATTTTTTTTTACTGCTGTGACCAAAAGACCTGACCAGAACAATTTTAAGGAGGAAAAGTTTATTTGGGAGCTCACGGTTTCAGAGGTCTCAGTTCATAAACAGCTGACTGAATTCCTCGGGGCCTGAGGTGAGGCAGAACATCATAGTGGAAGTGTGTGGCCCAGGAAAAGCAGCTGGGTACTTCACCAGGAAGCAGGGAGAGAGAGTGTGTTCCACTTCCTTGCGGCAAAATATAAAACCCAAGGGCAGGACTCATAGACCCACTTTCTCCAGCCGCACCCTACCTACCTACAATTACCACCCAGTTAATTCTCATCAGGAGATTACTGCACTGATTAGATTAAGGCTCTCATAATCTAACCATTTCACCTCTAAGTTTTCTTGCATTGTCTTATACAAGAGCTATTGGTGAGCCCTCATATATAAACCATAACAACCTTCCTTCAGCTAGAGTCCCTGATTTTTCATGCATAGTTTTCTGAGAATAGAAATAATAAAAAATATAAAATCCAAATGCATTTCTAGTCTGAAAGACCCTAGATGTATAAAACTCTGCCTACTTTTCTAGGGTCACTTTGCATAACTGTTTGTTCTTTATAAAGATCTTATGATATACATTCTATTCTTATTGGTATTTCACAGATGCACAGGAAAGAAATGAGAAGGTTTAAGAGTTGGAAAAAAAAAATCCCCATCTTTTGGTATCAAAGCCCATGGTATTGCAATACCTCCTGGCCAAAGAACTTACAGACAGAGCAACAGAAAAAAAAACTGCTTCTTCTCAAAGAAGATTTGCCTCCAAAGACATTTAGTCATTACCCACACTGGTTTGGTCAACTCCTGGCAGCACATTTATAAGTCTGCATTGTAACCACTTGTGGAGATTGTTTAAAATAACAATGTCGGGGATGTGGCTCAAGCGGTAGCATGCTCGACTGGCATGTGTGCGGCCCGGGTTCAATCCTCAGCACCACATACAAACAAAGATGTTGTGTCTGCCGAAAACTAAAAATAAATATTAAAAAATTCTCTCTCTCTCTCTC